GGGGGGGTGTTCAATGAAAAAAGTAGAGAGGGTCTCTAGTTCCTAAAGACTTTCTGTAGGTTAGAGGGAGATATTGAGAGAGGTATTGAGAAAGGTACAGAGGGATGGAGAAAGTGTAAATCAAGCTCTCCGTGGGTTAGAGGGAGATCTTGAGAGAGGTATAGAGGGATTAAGTGAGTGTAGATCATGCTTTCTGTGGGCTAGAGAGAGATCTTGAGAGAGGTATTGATAAAGGTATAGACTCTAGAGGGATGAAGAGAGTGCAGATCAGATTTGGGCAAACCACGCACGGCCCATGTGCCAGATATGTCCCGCGAGTCGACTCCACCTGCCTCCTCCTCCACGCGGACGTGTTATTTGTGCAACAATAGGAGGAGGGAGGAATTGTTCTTTCAGTTATATTGAGTGAATATGAAGAAATCATGTTTTTGTTCATCACCTTTTTTTTTTTTTTAAAGAAAAATGATTTTCTTCCTGGTTACCTCATCAGTTCTGCTGGTCACAAGAGTATATATGTACACACACACGTCGAGTTTGTGTCGAGTTGATGCAGTTTTAATTTCCCGACAGTTCCCTTTGATGATCTGATTTATGCTTTATGCTGTTTTATTTCTTTATATTCTTTTGGACACTGCGCTGTTTTTTTGGTTTTTTCTTTTCTTTCCCATACGTACACTTTTTATTTGTTGCCTGGATATTTTCTGAGTGGGCAATCCCGTGAAATGATGCTGCAAGTTATTATTGTTATGTTGAGTTGAGATTGGATTTCCCAATCTTGAGATTTTTCTGTACTACCATTGATGAACCTGGAAAAGTTCACGAGGGCTTTTAGTACGCAGATAGGTGAAGGTCTGAAGTGAAAGTTTAACAATAATTCCGGATTTGATAGATTTTAGCCTTTAGGTATTTTCTAAGCTAATATTTATGTGAAGCACTTACAGGGAGCCCGTAGTTAAATGGTGGTCTGTCACAGGGAAAACCACCTGCTCTTCTGATTGTATTGTTGTAGCTTTGTCCTCTGTTCTTTCTGATCAGTTTTTTTATTTTTTAGAAGAAGCTTGTTTTTTTTTGTTTTTAAAAAAAAATAATTTTTTCCCCTTTCTGAGAGAAGGGTACTAGAGTGATGGTTTATAGCAGTGTAGATCTGATTGATTCGAATTCCTTCAAGCACATTTCTTTTGCCCAATTCTCTTTTCTGACCTGGTCTTTGTTCAAGTTTTATATTATATGTACCCAAGCGAACAGTGTTGAAAGTGGCGTTAGACTCATACGGTACCGTGTGATCACATATCAGGTGTGAAGGAAGTCGGGTAGTTCTGACCCTAAACACCTGTTCAACTTGTCCTGAGAGTCGTTGATTCTGAAATGTCCTAGTCTTGAAGACTGGTTCAGCTTAGCTGAGCTAAAATTGTGAAACGGCTTTTGGTTATTTGTGTCACGACGTGACGTGGTAGAATCGGGCGCCCGCCAAATTTCGGGCATATGAGGTTATTGGTATCATCTTAAAGCCTGCTCATTTGCTTTCCTTTTGGTTAAAAAAAAATGATTTATCTATGTTGAAGAGAAGTCAAATTATTTGCGATTGAAAGAGGTCAGGGTTGTCTGGTTTCAGAGGTAAAATTGGCGAGAAAATGGCCGCCAAAGTTTGTTAACTTCCATAACCTGAGAGTCCCTGGAAACTGAAAATTTACTTTTTTTGTGCCTTTAATCAATGTTTTTCAGTAAAATCCACACAAAATTGTGTTTTTAAATGGACTTAAAATGGTTGAGTCAGAAAAAAAGAGAAGTAGAAAAAAAATTGCCCATCAGCTAAAAAAAATGCAGGTATCTCTTTGATTTGATTATTTTGACGAGTGCCTGATTTCACCACGCTGCCTCCCATTTATTTATTTATTTTTTTAAAATGCAGGTTGAAGAATCAGTTCACTGGTGAAATGTAATGTTTAAAACAAAATGTTTGCTTGGAATGGCGGCCAAAATGCGATTGTTGTTGTCTTTGAGGATTGCCTTTTCACCTCTGTTGTCTTCGTCATGTTGCAGATGGCATCCAGCATAAAAATATCTACAATACTCCTTTGCATGTTTTTATTGAATTGTTAAGAAATTCTCTTTTTGTGCCAGCCAGCCAGCCCCGTCGCTCATTTTAAAATACTGGTGGAAGGATTGTGAATGTGTATTTCATTGTGTGCATGTCCTTTTTTTCTTCACGGCAGTTTCGAGAAAAAGAGGGGTTTTTTTTGTCAGCGTAACCATTTTAAAAATAGAGCGATTCCGATATTTAAATTCTAATTTATTTGAAAACTGGTCGCTGTTTCACTGTGGTTTTTTTCATACTTGTAGGGTAACTGATCAGGTTTTCAATTTTAGCACAAAAAAAATTTTGGCTCTAAAATGAAAAAAATGCTGTTTTTTGTTGTAGGCTTATGGCAGAGTGTACATGCGTGTTGTTACATTTTTTTCTCCCTTGTGCACAAGTTTTACTGAAGCAATTTCTTTCCTGGCCTGAGGGACTTTGTGCATGTGTATTTCACTGTTATCCATGTTTATATTGGAAGTTGGAAGCGATTTCTAAACCGGGGTTGGAATCTTGGCCTGATCAGCCGGCACTATTGTAACTTGTAAGGTCGAAGTTGACTTTTCTGTTGTGAGCTCAAGATCGCTGCGGGCAGACAGGGTGTCTAGCGTCAGGGTTTACTGGCAGCAGCAAGGCTGTACGATAGGTTCTCAGACTCTTTAACCTTAAGGTTGTTGGTTCGAATCCCGGCAAGGGCCCGACATTGTGTCCTTAGGGAAAGGCCCTTTATCATGTGAATTTTCCTCACTTGATCTATCTAGGTGGGAAAAGGTACCTGTCTATAGACAGAGAAAGATCTCTTGTGTATCTTGCCAGTGTGTTTGTTTTAGGGTATGTAATCCGCAGCTTACACTGTATGCTTCCCGGGAAGCTGAGAATATTTCAGAGTCGTGTTTTCGAAGGGTCTGGTGGGGGCAAAAATTGTTGTAAAATGCATAGAGCGTGCTGTATAGCACAAATATGCGTTTATGTAAATGCAATTATTGTTATTATTATTATTGTAATAGATTTGCTCACCCCAGTCCCCACATCGTCGACAAGAATAATTGTGAGGCTTCGTGGTGAAATCAGGCGCTCAGCAAAATTATGAAATTGGAGAAAAAGTAATTTTTCCATCAGTTTGGCAATTTTTATCGACATTTTGGGGGGGCTAAACACCTTTTATGTTCGTACGAAAACACATTTTCTTTTGAAGTTTAATGAAAAACTTAGTTTAAAGGCACAAGTTATGTAACTTTTCAGTTTTCAAGGACTCTTTAGCTATTGAAGTTACCAAACTGTGACGGCCATTTTCTCATTAATTTTACCACTGAAACCAGACGACTTCACCGCCTTCAATCGCAAATATCTAGACTTCTATTCAAGATGGGTATTTTTTTTTTTCATTTTAAGCGAGGCAAATGAATAAGTTTTCAGATGATACCAATAACCCCACATGCCCAAAAATTGATGAGCGCCTGATTCCACCATGTCGTGACACAATTGCAGTTTGTTGTAATTGTTGTAGTCTGTGAAGTCCTGTGGCAGACGTTACGACTTTTGTGTACAGATTGTTCACTGTGTCGTCGTGCTGATGATGACGATGATGATAACGACGATGATGATGATGATGATGATGACAATGGTGATGATGATAATGATGACGATGGACTTTTTTGTTTGTGGTTTTTTTTTGTACCCTGCACATATTATATACATTTACCTATTTTTTTAGAATGTTCACCAATTTGATACGATTCATGTACTCCCTAGTCATGTAACTCTTGCTTTTTTAAATTGTGACATTGGGTGGCTTTAGGTTCCACTGTGTCGACAGATGTTTGTGTGTGTGTGTTTTGTTTGTTTGTTGGGTTTTTTTCCCATAAAATTACTGTCATTGGAGAAAAGAACTGTCCAGTCCCCAGCTGG